GAGAGAGAGAGAGAGAGAGAGAGAGAGAGAGAGAGAGAGAGAGAGAGAGAGAGAGAGAGAGAGAGAGAGAGAGATTCAAGTAAGGGCCAAGGGAGTACAGTGGACGACTAAGAAACACTGCAATCTGCTGCCGCAACGTCGGACTGGGACGCTCGAGCGCACAGGCCTCACATCGCCAGGTGGATTCTGTCACGGCCCTCGGTATGCGGCACTATTGTCGACCTTGCGGGACAGGGTTCTCCAGACGTCGACCCGCTGGCAGACGACGTGCACGAAGAAAGCGACCGAGCGAACACGCCTATACACGGCACGGTCACTGCGTACGATCTCCCCGGCCCTTCCTGCCTCTGCGCGCTCGCATGTATAAGCATGCCCTACGCCAGTTATGGTCATGCGTGCCTCTCCCTTCATATGCCAGCTACATCCACAGCTTGCTACTCACTGGTCAAACAGGACCAGCCTACTCGCGATGGCTGGCCATGGCGATGGCGATGACCGTCAATGACTGAGGATGGTGACGCGGACGCTAAGTCTCTGAATCGGGTCACTCACACCCGGATGGTCCACTCCATCCATGTAGCCAGCCACTCACCTAGACGAAGGATATTGTCGATATTGTCGACCGCCAAGTGAATTCCCTGGAAGCTGCCGAAATGGATATCACTTCGTTTTTCCGCCCCCCTTTCCTTTTCCTTTTTTTTTGCCCTTCAGTATAAGGAGTTTCCGAGACCCAAGTTCGAATCCTGATACAATCAAATGACCAGAGTAAAATCAATCATTCTGAATTATAAGGAGTTTACGACTGTTCTCATTCCAATTACCTGACTCGAAAGAGCCCAATATTGTTGTTTATTGTCACCTCCTCCATATATGCGAGGAGTGTTTGTTTTCTTTTCATTGGGATTGGGTAATTTACGCGACTGAGCCGTCCTTGGATTGGATGTGACAGCCATCTCTCAGGCTTCCCTCTTTTCTCCCCTGTCCGTCTTTCGCTTTTTCCCTTATTCTTCCGAGGGGGTTCCTTCTCCAGGAGCGGGTTTGTGTGATGTGGTCGTGGCCTAAGAATCCGATCCAAGGAGTGATCTACAACCGGACTGGATAGCTGGACTCCACTTACCCGCCGGATAGCGAGCGGTGCGGACGTCGCGGTCGTGGGTACCTTGCGCCAAAAATCACATTGAACCAGCGGGCCTAGCTCAGTTCGTATACCTATAAACTGTTGAAATCCGGCCCTGAGTTCGAATCCACCGAACTAGATGAACGGAATCCCTAAGTTACCTGTGGTCGGTCACCTTCGCGATGATATCTCAAGGCCGTCGCCCTTTAAACCACCAGTACCTTTCCCGGCTATTTTGCTGAGATGCGCCGGGGAACGCTGATGGCTGGCGCAGGTTCGTCTTTTTTTGGCGGGCAAGGCGATTTTAGGCTTGGCATTGATAGCTGAGAAAGGTGCTGGTGGTCACCTCTACCTTGGCGTTTCCGAGCTGATTAGGATTGAACGACTTTCAGGAGACTCAATCAATGGAACGCTGGGCCCGGTTTCCATCCGGTATCTACAAAGGATGCGAAGTTGAGTTAGGGACGCTAGGCCCCGGGTCAAGTTAGGGACGCTAGGCCCCGGGTCAAGTCCCAGTTACACCGATTGTTCATTTCTGGCCGTCGATCTACGTCATCTACGGACACAGATTGAGAATCGGGGTAAGCGGGACATGCGTCCCCGTTCCCAGCAATCAAATGAAGATTGCGCTTTTTGTTCAGGAAAAAAAAAAAAAAGAAACTGAAAAAACACATCGGATGATCGGAGAAAAAAAAAAAAAAAAAAAAAAAAAAAGGTGTGGAAAAGGTGCGGGATATCATTGTATGCGATCCTGTCGGCCAGTGGGGACTGAATAGCTGTAGCTTGTGCACTCTGTCCTCGTTTGGCAAGCATGTGGCACGACGTCCAGTTTATTACCCTGCTTCTGTGTTTGTAGCAGCAGATCACTAAGATCAACGGCCAGAAACCAGCATGTGGCACGAGGTCCAGCTTACCATGATTCTGTGTTTGTAGCCGCAGATCACTAAGATCAACGGCCAGAAATAAACAGTTGTGTATGTGGGACCCTGTTGCAGGGGTGCTAAAACTGCACGGCAGCTGCATAGACGTGTCATCGACTTTTTTTTCCATTTTTCGGGAGACATGTCCCGGATGTCCTGCTGGTAATAGCAGAGGACCTCAACATGACACTGGACCCGGTGCTAGACAGACAGTCAACTGAGCCAACAGGACACACTGCCTCACAAGTGCCTAATGCAGGTCACTGCCCCAACAGAGATATGCTGGCGAGACTACTGGCCGCCCTGCAACCCAAGGATGCATACAGAATACTGCGAACAGCCGGACTGGACACGAGAGGGCCGGGGGCCGGAGGAGCTCGGTAGCGCTATTTCTGCGCTAACTCTGCGCTAATCGCGGTTGCGATACAGCGCCAGGATTAGCGGGGGAGCAGGCCCTACCGGATGCGGCAATGTTACGAGCGCTGTTTTCGGCGATGGTTAGCGCCTCGCTCGAAGCAGCTGTCGGACTAGGTTACAGTAATCCATCTCGGTAATTTCCAGGTAACTGGAATGTCACCCGCCCGCCATAGCCCATCTATGGTGGTTATGGAGAAGTACGCAGCTATCCACTCAGAATAGCAACTGTTTACCCAGTGAACGGGGCGGAATTTCTCCTCAGGGTGGCTCGGGACATCATGACCTCGTCCTTCGACCCCAAGCCCTCGCACCTCGGAAATTTACGAAGGCTTACTGCAACCATGTATGAGAAGAACGGGAGCTGCAACACATGGAGATAACAGTGGGTAAGCGGCCACAAACTTGAGCTTGGAAGAGAACAACTTATTCTATTTATTGAGGCCTCCCTACTATAATCTAACAACTGGTATTGTTTATGGATGTGTGGCCGTTCATAGAATAGATTAGAAATGACGTCCCATATGCCGAACCTGCACGGTCTTGCGCAGAACCATCCAAACACCACGAGCACTCGAGTCTACACGTTAGAGGAGAAAGTGTATATCCGTGAGTTATTAGATGCTTGTTTTCACGACAGTCTTCTTCCCACTGGGCTGTGCATCGAAAAAGCTGAACTGGGTGAAGACTTCGCACGTCTTGACTTGGACAAAGACTTTGCCGATCAACAGACGGAGTGGCTCCGGGAACACGCGGTCACGATAGTCTTCAATGAGGAAGCCGGAAATCTATCTAATAAGATTAAGAAGCAACTCGTACTGGTATTTGAAAACTCCTGGTATGATTCAGGAGAAGTGGATCTGGACACCAAACGCGGCCGATATCAGAATGAAGGAAAGAACCTGGCCACATATGTGGCAAGCACGAGCGAAATTGCGGAATGGTTGCGACAGGAACACTCGGTTGAAATTGAGTTAAACGGGAAATCGTACGGAGTATCCTTCTTACCTTGGATGGATCTTGCGGAAATGAAATTTTATAAGACAACAGGGAAACCGAAGATCTTTTGGATTCGATGCGTGCATGTCCCGCTTCAACTGATGGCGCCACTGCAAATTGCAGTGGAATTGATTTTTGGGAAAGTGGTGAAACGTCACCCCTTCGAAGAATATGAAGACGAACCGGAACTTGGCACGGTCCGATTTGACCTAGAGCCCATGGCTGAATTGCGTGTCAAGTCTCGACTGATTGTGGGGATCCCAAGGAAAGGAGAATATCATGTCAAGGTGATATCGGCAGCAACTCCGTGGTGTCGTAAATGCAGAATGAACTATCACAAAGAAACAGACAATTGCTGCCTGGCAGCGGAGATCGGCCTGTTTGATACAACGGTTAGGGACCCACTTCCCACGCCACCGTTCTTAGGCTTCGTACCACTGGGACAAGATGTCCCTGCGCGGGGCCAGAATAGGTTTCAAAACAAGAGACGAAGAAACGAGGCTTCAGGCCCCAACACAGCCACGAGTATATCAGGTAACAAGAAGGGGAACAGCAGTAAGGGACGGTTGAAAGGGGAAAACAAACCAGACAGCAAGAAATCCACGACATCTACTTCTCAACCCTCGGGCGAGCACAAAGATGTTAACCCAAAAGCGGACGATGCAGTAAAGTTGTGTGAGAAAATTCCTTCATCCAAATCATCGGAAAACCGTGATACGAAAATGTACAAAGGTGAAGGAGACGAAAGTCCAGTTAATAAAGTTAACCTAGATGTAGAGGACACAGAGGATGCCGCTGCATTTTAGGCCACCGAGGAGATAGTTCGGGCAAAGATTACAAAGGGTCCCAACTCATCTCCTCTGAAGAGGTCCCAGGTATCTAGCTCCTCAGCAGACGATGGCTCCAGAGAAAGGACATACAGAGGAAGGAAATCGGAACGTGAGGACTCGGACTCAAGTCGGGAGTCCCGAGAGGATTATAAGATCCATAAAAAGGGCTCGAATCCGGCTGCACTTTCGAGTACAGTCCCGATCAAGTCCCTGACTAAGGAACAGCGGGCTATCCCCAGAATTTTGGTTCCCATCATATCGGTGGCTGGGGATGTCCAGGTGGTTTTTCTGACCAAAACTGATGCACAAGGTAAGGTCTCACTCCCAACAATTCCTCTCAAAATGGATGACGCTACAACGGAATCCTTCATCACACGACAGGTGAAAAATCTCACGCAGGAAAGCCTATCTGTCCGGTTGATACCTAATCTGCGGATGGGTATACACACAGTCGAGGAAAACAATCTACCATGTGCTCGCCTCTACATTGCTTGTATGGAAGCAAAACTAGAAGTGACATAGTTAATTGTTCTAGAACAAAAGGGTTTTACTTGGACACCAATTGCACCTGACCTCGCCTCTAAACGAACGCTTGGGCACGATCAGTATTGCAAATGTAACTACTACTGTTGCCTTGGCAGAATGGCTGGAAATGGCTTCACAGCGGGAAATCCTCCAAGGACAGGAATTCATTAAATACATACGACAGCCCTAGGAGAAAGGAAGTAACTCGAGGACCAAGGAAAGGGAGGGGAAAGTGTCTAGAGCCAACCGGATCCAAAATGTTGTCGGTTCCATAGGGGCCGATGCCCCAAAGCAATAGAATAAATATAACGACATGGAATGTATGTGAGCTATGTAATACTGGTACGTGAAGAAAGAAAGAAAGACTCAAATCATGGATGCACGAGAAGAAGACACATATAATGTGCCTTCAAGAAACAAAATTGAATGAGGAACGATTAAATGAGACTCGAAATTGGTGGAACAGTCCTCAATACTGGTCTCCTGAGCAAGGTACCAGAGGTGGTGTGGGAATTTTATTTCATAGAAACTTAGAGATTACAATTATGGACTGGATGGCTGACGTCAGGGGCCGCTGGGTATGGGTTCACTTTAAACTGTTTAATGAATTGTGGACGGTTATGTCGATATATGTACTGACTGTGTTTAATGAGAGGGTTCAGTTTCTAGTAGAGCTTCCGGAGATTCTACCAGACATCCTCAACCCTCTGGTTACAGCAGACTGGAATACTGTACTTAACCTAGGGTTCAGGACAAGATTCTCCGCAAGCAGAACCCATCCGGGCAGATGACAGATTACGACACTCAGTTATGGAGTCCGACAGTTGATTGATGCCTATCGAGTTCTCAACCCGGATGTCATTGATTATACTTGGCGTGGTTCACAATCCCCACCGGTTAGAAGAAGATTTGATTTTTTCTTGGTAAGGGGTGCGCTGTGGGACAGATGAATAACTTGAAGTGTAGTCATAGTCGTATCTCCAGTCTCCGATCATCTACGAAACATCCACGGATGCGTCCGCGGGGTCGAACTCGGAGGGCGGTCGTATATACGGCCGCATCCGCGACTGACCTCGTCCGCGCCGCGGACGTGAATTTACCGCATTTTTCCTCAACTAAATAATAGATAAAACGACAATAATTTTTATTTTTTTTTAAATGCGGTTGTAGGGATTTTTAATCCCTACAACCCCATTTTTTTTTTTTTGGAAATAGATAATCTTTTAGAATTATAAAAAATAAACAACAGAAAAGGTGAAGAAGAGAAATTAAAAATAAATAAAAAATAAAATTGTTTTTTTTGGGGGGGGAGATTTTTGGTTGGCAGTTCTTTGTATTCTTCATTTTTACGTTTTTTTTTTGTTTTTTTTTTTTTCGTCCTAAGGAAACAATCAAGGAATGGAAAAATATATATATCTTTTTTTTTTCGGGGCCTTTTAATATTTGTGTGTGAACGTGTGTGTGTGTGTGTGTGTGTGTGTGTGTGTGTGTGTGTGTGTGTGTGTGTGTGTGTGTGTGT